CCCCAAAACCCCAAAACCCCAAAACCCCTTATACTTATAAATATATTGAAAATGGGTCAAGGAAACTGATGACAAAGTAGAGCCAGTCATTTCGAAGGTAAGGCTTCTCAGAGAAATCTTGAAATTTTTTAGAGAATTAGCTCAATCTTAGTTCTGTAGGCTTTTAATTATTTGAAACAAGAAATTGGTGGGAATTTTGAAAAGTATTTAAAAATGCTGTGGTGACATTTAACAGAAGTTTTAGGGTTCAAAGATAAAGCTATTCAAAGCATTAAAGAGCCTACTGAAAGGTAATTATTGCAGCTACTTTAGAACAATTAGTCGAAATTTCAGAATAGAAGGAATCTCTAAACCCTGAAGACTTCTAAAAACTCATAAGAATTCTGGATCTGAGGTTCCAGTAAGGATAAATATCGTAAATCACAACAAATATTACCAGAAGAATAGGTAATTCATATCTATTTAATTTATACTAAATTTTTATTTTAAAACCCAAAATTTTTCTCTCCCTCAACTAACCTCCAAACAGCAATTCAAAAAGAATTAGCTCATCACAAAGTATATCCAACTCCTCTGTATACGAACACCAGAACGGTCGTATAAAATTCGTGACTGCGTAAGATTTCCCCTAAAAAATCCAGAAATTACCTCTCTAAGCACAAAAAGACCTCTCCTCCCCTATCTCCGCTCCAGTCAAGTTCCAAGTCCAAACTACTGAACACATATCCGCAATCAGGTCTTCCCTCTCAGGATCCTTACTAGGTACTTCTTCCTTCTTGTCCAACCCCCTGTGCACCAAACAGTGCAAGGGCATTTTCCTTGCTGCGTCTTTTTGGGGTGAAATTTGGTCAGGCTGACTGGGTATAGGTGAATGAGAGAAGAAGGATGGGGAGATAAGGGAGTAGAGAGAGGAGGAGGAGGGAGGAGGAGGAGGGAGGAGGAGGGGGTTAGTTTTGGGTGTTAAGATGAGAATTTTCATTCAATCTGATCTGGATGAGGTGGGGTTTTGGGGTTTTGGGGTTTTGGGG